ACAGATGACCAAGAGTATGTATGCAGAAAAGAGGAAAAAATGCTAGAATTCATCTGCATAGTGGCATGTACGTGACCTAGATATAGAAGATAGAAGGAGAACGGAAAAGCGTGTTGGGGTGTGTGTGGGGGATATATTTCAGATGCTGCAGGACATGCTGCTGGAGAGGACATCAGCTGGTTGGAGTGGAGTGGAGTGGAATGAAGAAAGAACCCAGCCTGCTAAGTCTGGAGATTACAGACCTGTTGTATGATGAAGCAGATTTATTTATTTATTTATATTTCATATTTAGACACCACCCATCTCATGAGGAAGCGACTCTGGGTGGTTTACAATAAAAGATGCTGGACAATGGGAGTTTGTGTCAGCCCTTCAAGGTGGTCCACACTAGGAAACCAAAGTCATGCCAGCCAAGACCACTCTTATTTATAAGTTTATGGTGACAGAATCTGGCAAGTCTGAATGTGCTTCCCCCCGCCCCCCTTATCTTCATGTGAACTAGGGAGGGTCACGTCTGAGACGCTTTCTCAGGTTACAGCTCTGCCCAGGACTCAGGTTTCTTTTATCTGACCATTGTCTTGGTTGCAGCTCTTCCTCCTGTTTCTCAAGGTTATTCCATCTGTCCATTACAGTTTGTGCATAAAGGATTCTGTTTGGCAGCAGGACAGGTGGGAGAAAACTCAGTGTCAGTAACTGAATAAGGAGGGGACAAGGAGCAGTAATAGGTTATAAGCAAAAAGGGAGGGGGGGATTAAGTTATGTTAAGACTCGATTCCTTATATTATTCTGTACATACATAGAAGAACATATTGGTTTTGTAGATAATTCACTTGTACATATCACTAGATTGCATTATTTCATGAGTTTATTGTCATAGTGTTCAAATAAAATCACTAGTTTGCTAAGCTGCTGGCTGTCTGCGTGAGACAGGGAACTTGAAAAGCGGTTAAACAGATGAACTGGGATGCCTGTTCCAGTGGCTGGAATCCATCAGGGCCTACATAGGGAGAAAGGGGCTTCAACTGAACCCCAACACAACAGAGTGGCTGCGAACTCAGAACCAGTCAACACTCTGACCATGCCAGCTTTGATTCTGGATGGGTTTGTGCTCCTCCTGAAGAAGCAGGCTCTTGCTGGAGGGTCTTCCTGACTTGGGACTCTTGCTGGAGGAGCAAGTACTGATTGTACCCAGGAGGGCATTTGCCCAGCTGAGGTTGGTGCCCCTCTTGTGGCCTTTCCTGGAGCAAGGACACCAAGGACACTCATCATGCCCTTATCACTCTCAGTTGGATTACTGTAGTTTGGTCTACTTGGGGCTGCCCTTAAACACTATCCAGATACTTCAGCTGGTACAAAACATAGCTGCAAATATTGTCATGCATGTCAGTCCTAGAATGACTAGAATGTCATGTAACACCATTGCTACAGGAACCTCAGTGGTTCCCATCTGTGGGCCAGTGGGGCTGATTATTACCAGTAAGGCCATGTAGGGCTTGGATATGGGTAACATCAGGAAGATCAGTTCAGGAAAATACTGCTACTCTGTGTGAAAGGATGGCGTGCCTGCTAGGCACCCCTCTTCTCTCTTCCAGTGTCAGGAGAACTAATGTGTGGGTACTCAGGCATTCTCTGGGGGGGGGGGGCTCTCCTAGGCAACAACCTCCCCCCAGAAGCACAAAACCCCCCTTCTCAAGGTGGTTATTCTTTTGGAGACCACTGAATGAATGTTAATATATCATTATTATATTGTACTATTTTGATTATGTTACATTATGATGATCACCATATTGTTTTAGTCTTCAGAATTTTATGCTGCATGATTTTGAACTGAAAACCACTTAGAGTTGTCTCTGATTGCACAGAAATGACCTGCAGAGACGACTACCTAAATGTGAGCTCAGCCCTGGAAACCGCACCAGCATGAGAAAGAAACTCAAGATGCCCTGCTTTGACTCTCTGGTATAAGAGGAAGGGATGGGGAAACACCGCCAGGCTCTCCAGATTCTGTTCTTGGAGCCGAGATCAATAGCATTCTGGAGTTTTGGTGGTATCTGTGGCCTCATCTGGTTGACCTCAAAGGACTGACTGTAAGTGAGGTGGCATAAAGCAACAGAGCTAACCACTTCCTGCCCTCGTTACTGCAGCAAAGAGGGCTTGTCCATCAGAGGGTAGCACATTAGTGAAGCCTTGAGGAAGAACCTCAAAGTGAGGTGTGAGGATCCTGCTGAGGCTTTCCCCACAGTTCAGCTGAAGTGCTTCCTCCTTATTCTGAGCTGGCAGAAAACTGTATGAGCGTGAAATTTGTTATCCACACTGCCAGCCTCTAACCTACCTCATTTGCCTCTGTTCCCTGTCCTTGAATTCTGTGACTTCCCACCAAGGGAACAGGAGAGATAACAACCAGCTGATTTTACCCACTTTGAAAGCTGCCCTTAGATGGTGTGGGAATAAGAGAGACAAGGCTACATGAACACAGAGACAGTCAAGGGAGTCCAAAGCCAGCCTCACTCCTGGGTTGGGGATGAGATGAAGGCCACCTCAAAGGGAGATGGTGAAGAAGATCAGGCCAGGACATGTGTTTGGGTGAGGTGTAGGTGTGGGCAGCCCTTAAACAAAGCATCATCAGAAGCACTGAAGCTGTTATCCAAAATGCAAGGAACAAGTGTCAACATGTACTTTTCCTCAATGAATCCCAAGGCCCACACCAAACCAAACCAGGGACCACCATTGGCCCTCCCCAAACCTCAGTGCTCTGATGCTCTCCCTGGCTGTTCCTGCTTGTTCACCATTCAGGGAGGGGCCAATGGAAGAAATCTTTCATAGAATCAGAGAAGAATAGAATCATAGGGTTGGAAGGGACCTTGGAGGTCTTCTACTCCAACCCCCGTCCAGGGCAGGAGTCCTCATACCATCTTGGACAAATGACTGTCCAATCTTTGCTTGAAAACCTCCAGCGATGGAGCACCCACAAGTCCGGGAGGCAAGCTGTTCCACTGCTGAATAGTTCTCATGGTCAGGAAATTCCTCCTTACAGTATTTCTTGTTTGGATCTCCCTCTGACGAGCTTCCACCCATTGCTTCTTGTCCTACCCTCAGGTGCTATGGAGAATAAATCAATGCCCTCTTCCCTGGGGCAGCCCTTCAAGGACTGGAAGACTATTCTGTCTTCCCTCAGTCTTCTCTTTGTTAAGCACAACATACCTAGTTCCTTTAGCGGTTCTTCATAAGACTTAACCTCCATGCCCCTTATCATCTTTGTTGCTCTTCTCTGCACTCTTTCTAGGGCCTCAGCATCTTTTTGTATGGTGGGGACCAGAACTGGATGCAGAATTCCAAATGTAGCCTCACCAGTGCGGTCTAGAGCAGTACTATCATTTCCCTTGAACGTGATACTATCCCTCTGTTGATGCAGCCCAGGACTGTGTTGACTTTTTTGGCAGCTGCAGCACAAAGCTGACTCATCCTTAAGTGGTGGCCCATCAGGACACCTAGATCCCTCTCATAGGCACTACTGTTGAGCCAGGTGCTGCCTATCCTGTACCTGTGCATCTGGTTTTTCCTGCCTAAGTGCAGGACCTGACTTTTCTCTCCACTAAACTGCATCTTGTTGGATAGGGTCCAATGCTCAAGTCTGTCAGGAGCCTTCTGAATCTTGAATCTATCTTGCAAAGTGTTAGCAATTCCCCCCAGCTCTGTGTCATCTTTACCCCAAAACATCCAAAATCCAGAGCTGGACCTTGCTGGGGAATCTGCTAATCTCCCTGGTCAGAGCAGCAGAGCGTGTCTTCCCTTAATATCCATCTTTCATCTGGGAATCTGAACAATGGCATTAGCTTGATTTCAGATGTGAACACTCACTCAGGTCTTGCACAAGTGGGAGGAGCAGCAGCTGAAGCAGACCAGGGATTCCCAAGAAGGACCTCCAGGCAGCCATGCCGATAGTAGCATAGATAGTAGCAGGAGAGACATCTGGGGCTACTTCATTTCTTGCCCCACCCAAGGCATTTCCTTTTGTAGAAGGAGCAAAAGAGGAACTCTCATTTCCTTCTTCTAAAGTTGGACCAACAGTTTTGGACTGTTGCTACATAGGAGAGTAACTAAGGAAGAATACACAGAGAGAGTCTGGAATTCTAAATTTACAGTAATGTCCAAAAGTAAAAGATACAGAGGGAGATTGTTCAAGAAGAGGCTGAAGTCAACCAAGAAGGAGACCTCCACCATGATTTCTGTGTTTGCTTCACCTCTCTCCGCTCTAACTCTTTCCCTCTGCAGAAGAAGTGAAAGAGGAATTCTCACTTCATCCTCCAAGGTGGGCCTCAGAGTCTTCTCCACAGTTCTAGATCTCTGGGAGCTGTGAAATAGCACCTTCCCAGGTATCCAGAGTGCTTTTTCCTTCTCTAATTCCAGATTGAGTCTTTCAAGGGTGCAGACAGAGGTTTCTTGCAGACCCAAACTTTCCCTCCCTTGCTGCTTCGTCCTCCTAAGGAGGGCCATTATTTTAATTGGAAATCTTCTCATCCCAAATTCCCTCCTTCTGGACAGGGAAATGGGGAGGTGACAATTTCCAGGATGACTTGTAGCTCCCTTTTATTGTTACTAGATTTATATCCCACCTTTCCTTTTGTGGTGTAGATATCTATGCTCCCACCTCCACGAACCTCCCTGTGAAATGGGTTAGTCTGAGAAAGAACTAGCCCAAAGCCACCCAACCAGGTTTCATGCCAAAGAGAGATGTAGAACTCACAGTCTCCTGGTTTTTAGTCCCACACCTCAACCATTACACCAAACTGTCCTTAGGCTGTCTTTGGGATCAATTAATTCCCTTGCTAGTTTGTTCTCATGGTTTGGGGTTCAAATCCTCTACCAGGACTCCAATTCACAGGTCCTTGCACTTCAGATGACTGTATACAGTGCAGCAGCTCTAGGAGCTATCTAGGTCCTGGTGCTCAGTGATTGCAGGAAGAGATCTATCGATTCTATAGAATGGGCAGACTGGCGGCAATGGGGTGGTGGTGATGGAAGTCATGTAACACCCCGAACATGGAGGTAGAACATTGGTATCTGATAGTTTAAGGGAAGGTGGACTTTTTACACCGCTCTGATAGACTGGGAGCTTGTTGTAGCTTCTCCTTCTGCAGGCTTTTCATTTTGGTCAAAAGGGTGATAGGAATCATCTCTAAAGCAGAGGTTTACAGTCTTTGGTTGGTCTTCCAGGGTCATCCAAAACATTGAGGACCCCAGTCCACCTACAAGGTTTTCCTGAGAGGAGTGGGGGATGTCTGTGTGTGAGTGCCTAAAGGTGTCTTTGGGAGCAAACTTCTAAGCAAAAGGCCAGATGGGATTTGGGGAAAATTCTGGGCCATCCAAGCATGCTGAATGACACCAAACACGGATCCAAGCAATCATATGCGCCATTGGCTTGGAAGATCAAGCAGTCCAGCCATTTCTAGATGCCCAGCTCTTCCAGTCCTTGAATGAGCATGTCAGCAGGCCTGCCTGGTTCATCGAACCGACTGTAATCCCCACCCCACCTTGCCTGTTAACCTTCCCTCAGATTTCCTAAGAGAGAAGTGAAAGCTGTGAGCGTGTACGGATTCGGTCTTGGGTGCTGCTACCACCCCAAAGTGACTTTGAGAAGCAAGCTCCTGAGAGAGATAAACCCTAGAAAATAGTCCGGGTTCTCAGAACAAGCCAGAAAAAAGTAATGAAGGTTAAACCTCACTCAGCTTGACGTGTTGTGTGAATAGAGCTTTAACCTGGGAAGATCATATGGTCCAGCCACCAGTAGATACCCACCTCCTGTGACCCGGTCAGGGTGCTGTGTGAGTGGGGCCACTGAATGGATTCACCCTACAGGCAGGCCAGGATCTCCCACATCTGCACAGCCCTGGGATTCAACAGATCACCTGGTCCAGAAGGGGTCCCATTCCCCACCAGCACAATTGCTCCAATTCAGATCCAGAAGAGAGTGAAGCTGTAGAAAAATCTCTACTGCCGACTCCTGGAAAGAGGCGCTCTATATAACAAGCCCTTCTCTATTAAGGTCCAATGTCTTAAAACGTACTATACAGTGGTACCTCGGTTCACAAACTTAATTTGTTCCACGATTCTGGTCGCGAACTGAATTGGTCGCGAACCAAATCAAATTTCCCCATAAGGTTCAATGTAAATAAGGTTAATCTGTTCTGACCCATATGTATTGTTTTTTTTAAACCACAAAAATATGACACAAAGTACAGTACAGTACAGTATGAAAAGAGAGAACACTAACCTTGCTTGAGGCGACTTCTGGCATGGAGGACAGGAAGGTGGGTGGGGAGGCGGTTATTGTTTGGAGGGAGAGTCCCCCTCCATAAGGACCATGATCTTGCCTAGAGGAAGCGACGACCACGTGTCAGAGCAGGGAAGATGGCCGCGGGTCGTGTTCGTCACCTGATGCGGAGTTCGTGAATGGAAGCA